TCTTATCAACTGGTATCCAGGTAGAGAGTAGGAAGTAGAAGGGAGACAAGGTTTTAGCCAAGATTCAGAGACAAGGATAGCATGAATATTCTTACAGTCAAGGTTCGCCAGCATATCGTGGTAATGAGCTGGAATACTCTGTGCATTTATATGGACTACATTAAGATTTTTCGGTACATCGGAGAACCGGGACTCAAGTGTATCAGCAAGAGATGGTAAACTTGTAAAGCTGTCATTATCAGTATTCGCAGAAGTAAAACTTTCATCGATACTCTGCATGTAGCCATTCATCATTTAGTATTATTTAATAAAATATTATAAGTGATAAAATATATTAAAATAAATATAGATCTAAAATAAATAATATATAAATACAACATTATTATGAAGAATTTTCCTTTTTCTCTTATTTATACTGTATGATTTGTTTGAGCAGGCAATCGTTACCACTTCATTATCAATATGGACATTAATGTTACATTAAGTACCTAGTCAAATAGTATTTCCTTCATAACAAATAATTGGGTTCCTACGTCTCTCTTTCAAAATTTTAACTCAGACACTGAAGATAAAAGTTACATCTCACCACTCGATTTGCTTTAAATTATACCACAAACAATTTTGAAGATCGAAGACGTATTCCAAAGACAATGAAAGTCGCAAAGAAGGTAATAGTTATAAGTACTTTTACAGAGCAACACGTCTTACTGTCTTACCACCTCATTGTGGGTGGCAGGGAGAAATATCGCAAGGATTTACTTTATTGCCGGATGCAACAGGTCGCGGATAAGAGGGGAATCGAGGACTTTCCGACCAAGTTTCTGTAAGTCGACGACGCCGGGGAGAAGTGGGTTCGGAGAATGTTCCGTGTCTCTTAAGTGAGGGGATAATGGGGCTTTTATGGAATAGTGCGGCTTTATGCCATGATAGGGTGATTTAATTTTAACTGTTGCGCTGCAAGTCTTAGGAAATGTTTTAGATACCTACTAGGTGTATTATTGTAGTATTTTTTAAATATTTCATTGTTGTTCTCTGTTTGTAGTTAATATAAGGAACATTTTGTATCAATGCCCGATGATTGTATGATAATACATGAGATATGTATAATAGTAGACTATTAAAAGCACAACCCATTAAACCGATAAAGTTAAACGATTTAACACTTTATTGTTTTGTTCTATTAAATCTTCCAACGGATAGTATGAAGCCAAGAAAGGACAATCAATTTCAGTAATAACTTCCGTTTAAAATCGCAACAATGAAAAAACCTAATCGGCTCAAGACTTATTTAATTTAGAGTTACATTTTCTTCGAATCTGTTACGATGGTAAGGTGCGTAATTGAATCGCCTTAGTTCCGAGAGAGGTCCCCGCGGACCGAAGCCCGGATGATTGGGTATTACGAGATTACCGGCGAACAGCCGATACAGCTCCATTAAATCATCTACACCGTAAGCTCGAATTGTTTCTAACTGAAATGTTGATTTATAGACGGCTACAGTGATTTCAATTAACTGTTCAAAGTAGAATTCTAGTAAGATTTTAATAAATTCTAAGTTAGTAGTTAAGTAATGCTAGTACCCAGTTAGTTTATGAATCCCAAAACGTCTCATTAAGCAAAGTTCTTTGAAGAGCACTGATCAGGTTATTAAAAATCTTGATTAACGGAATAAGGTAGATGCTTCAAAATCTTCGCCGTCATCACAGAATGTAACAGCACAATAGGTATAACATTTAATCTACTTGATTTGCAATGATAAAAAGGAATAAGTCTTTTCATAATGGTAAGCTTTATTAGTCGTAGGTACTTCACACTTCGTAGTCAAGTATCCATACGCTACGTAAACTATATTCATCTATTCACTGGATGAGTGGAGGCTACGAATTTTCAATGTTTACTTTTAAAGTACCTCATCTGATATTTAAGTACTTACTTAAGTAAATAATTTTCTTCCGGTACACAGCAATCAAACAATACAATAAGCTATAATGTCATATCATAAAATTATTACAGTGTTAGAGGAAGTATACTTGTACAGCTAACGTCAGATATGATGGATGGCGAGGGTCACATGATGAAGTGGTGCCCCAATCAATTAGTACGGAACCACTGCTATGACCGAACGTTGCCATAAATCAGACTCGGCTCTGAAGGGTTAGTCAGATCGGCTGAGAAATAGTGTAGACGGTCAAATTATATCTACGTTGCTTTATAAGTAAGGTGTTTTGATTTTCATTATAACATTGTAGGGAAGCGTTACATGAAGGTAGGTTGGGAAGCTTCTATAAAATAAAGGCTGTAAGTTTATAAGTCATTCAAAGTAACTGCTCTTGCAATTGGTTGAATAAATGCTCGACTTGTAAGACTTGTTTCTACAAGCTCAAGTGTTGTGAAAGAAAGATTATTTGCTGTAATACCACAAGAATTCACAGGTTTTCGATACGTTCGAGTTCGGGTTCAGGGTCACAAATATTGGCCTTCCTGATTATCCAACCAACCTAATTATATGGGCCTTATGGTCATCGTTTACACTCACAGTCGACCATATTGGTACAAGAATGTTCAAATTGAAAGCTGAACATTGCAAGATATAGGAACACAGATTACTTAAACAGGACTGCATATACTTTCAATATCTCATCGGGCGTTCTAAATAAATTTCCTCTTAGCTCGGACGGCTCAAAGACAAGATCACATTTCAACAGTTCACGAGAATTGCCATTTAATTAGATCACGGACAGACGCGGCCCGATCGGCCTTTGCGTTGCGAGAGAGGATGGAGGATGACCTCCCCTCTCCATTATCTTATTACCCTCTCCCATTATTACGTTACTAATTTTCCTGCACATCGAGGAGCTAACGAAGTTTTCCCGGCGTAAAGGGCGCGTTTTGATTGTCAATTACTGACTCTTGGACGGCAAAGGGTGGCGACGGACGATCAAAGCATCGACAGCGCCAGCAACGGATGCAATTAACTATGTGGCAGAAACTTTGTTATAAGCGACCGTGTTTTCAATATGTTCTCTATGGTTTTAGAATAAGGTCAGCTCAATGTCTTTTATTTTTAAGTCGCGATCTTATTTACCAACTCAATAAAAAGGGCAGTTAAAAAGTTTCATTTACATTATTAGGATTGAAGCTGATTAATTGTTAAGAATAATGTAAAACGAGGTTGGTTTTGTTGTGTCTGGTAACCGAACCACTAAATTATAAAATAACCTAAGGAAAACAAACACCCAAACACCAATAACATTTAAACAGCATGCAAACACATCTCATTTGCGAGTTTCCGGGCCTTTGCTTGTCCGGCCTCTAGCTTGAGGCATTTCATTTCCGTTACAGGCTACACAGCAAAGACGCGCAATCTGCGGAATCTTCCGAAGTCCAAAGCCTGGCTATATCGCGTCTTGTCACTTGCAGTGTTCTGTTCCAACTAAGACAACGGAGTTGTGTAGTTAAATATTAAAAAAATATTTCTAGTATTCTGCATTAGGACGAGTGCATTTTTAAAATTACGTATCGTCAAGTGTTTTGTGACTTCTTGCGCCAAACTGTGAAAAAATTACTATGATAGGAAACCAGGCGCTTAGTACATAACAAACAAAAGCGCGAGTAATTTCTTTTGGTTTTCTTTATAATACCCAGTTGTGTCAAAAAATCTCTTTCTTAGAAACACTGTAAAACATACTCGAAGTAGTACTTATTCAATTTTCTCTGACCAGTCAACACAGACTATGGTACGTATTTGAGTGCATAACACTATTACATGAACACTTGACTCGCACACTAGCGAATGTGAAGCCTTCAATTAGCAAGCCGGTGTAAGCGTAGTGCAGGCCACTCCAGGCGCATGAGGCGAGGCGAGGCACAAGGCGTACGATTGTTAACCGCCTATTATGCCTCAAGTGTCCTACAGTCGGCGTTAGCGCGCAATCACACAGTAAGATCTGAATACATCATTTGAACTGTATCTGAGAGAATATTCACAAATTCTAAAGTCAAAATAGTGTAATAAAGACTAATTTTGTATTGTTATCAATAGTTTTTATATGTATGTTTAGTTTGAAAACTACACACACATACAGACTCCTTATTACTTAATTATGTTTTAGTTGGAATCAATATGTGCTTGAAGTGATGTGAATTGTTTTAATGTTGACGGACAAGTTCAGTGGCAATTTCAACCATCAAGATATAGATGTTACAAAATCGGAAATGATTATGATCTAGTATGCAGTCAGAATGTTTATGACGTGACGGAAGCCGTCGGCGTCGTCGAGACGAGAGGCGGACAATTAGCGACGCAAGAGGCACTTAGTGCCATTCAAGGCACAACCGCGCCACTCTAGACACCGACACCGCGTGTTCCAGCTAGTCTAGAATGGATAATTAGGCTAATTGATTATAGAGCTGCGGCCAAAATATAGCTTCATGCGCTGCTTGTAACTGTATGATAAAATATCTGTTGCTAATTCCTATTTAATGATTAATGATCCAAGGTTTTCTGGAACATGTTGCAAAAATACGCGCTTTCCTCGTGAAAGATTGTTTAGACTGCCTCGTTGGGCCGAGTGGCAGCAAGTGCGACTGCCTGGGTTTTTAAAAAAAATCTTAGTAGTAGCACGGAGTCTAGAAATGTGCTCGGTATATGGCAATAGGCTCACCCCCTATTACATGGCACTCATAACATAAATAGTGAAAAGTGGGTGTTACTCTGTGTGCACCTCTGCCTACCCCTACAGAGATAAAAGGCGTGATGTTATGTTATGTTATTGTTTAAAGTCATTGTTAACTATAGATAGGTAATCTTATTCTTTGAAACCCATGTTATAAAGAGCATGTCTATATCAATTGCAATATCAACGACCAATTTAATGATTCCAACCGCGTACAGAACCTGAAACCGGGCTCGGCAACCAAGCTGCAACCACTACAAATAAGGCAGTCTCTTTCTGGAATGTCATTGTCATTGGAAAGTAGAGATAAATAGAAGTACTTACCGCCGCCATTCTTGTAGCAGAGGTAAGGGAAGCGCCACACGTTGGCGAGGTCGACGGCGAACCCGATGACGGACAGCAGGAAGTCCACCTTCTTGCCCCATGTCTCGCGCTCGCCGACGCCCGGCGTAGGCGTCTTCAGCGCCATCCTACTGCCCAACCACAGGAATCCGACACACCCTGTAACCAAATCATTATGTAGAATTTGGTTTTTGCTAGAAATTATAATGCATCATCTGTTAGTTATGCCTATTTCATAATTGTTGAGCTGCAAAAGTCATGAAAACTACTTTAGGGAACAGAGAGTATAGTTCCCTAAGATCGGAAAAGGAGGATCCTCCGACCAGGCGAGGTGATCGTGCCTGGCGGGCTTTCTGCCCGTTGGGATTTTCTATCCGTGTTTATTCGCTTGTAAACTTTGCATGTGCGATGCAGGATTATTGTGACGTCATCCGTTGACATGTGGCATGCGTCGCCACACTACCTTCGTCTGAAAGTTTCACGTCATTATAGGAAAATATTATACTTGTCAGATAAAAAGGTAGTTTCCAAGTTCTATTCTTGCTATAATTATCATCATATCAGCCAATAGAGATAAGATGTCACAAGACATCTATTGCTTGACACCGGCTCAATGACTTCTTCGCTGTGCGAATCTGATAAACTTTAGGTCTGACGTTGGTCAGTGAAAAAAGAATGCTATTTCGTAATACCCAACCGCAATTCTTATAAATCAAATCCAAATACGTTAAAACAACAAGCGGACCAAACTACACCACTTGACCTTTTATTTGAGTGTTAATTAACTGGCCAGAAATACCGCGAGAGCGTGGCCCTCCATTACGCCGGGACATAATGAAGTGACAAATGTTATGACGCGCCGCGTGACAGAGGGCACCACTTCACACGGCACGCTGACCGCTGACCGCGCTTTGTCACAGGGTTGGCGCAATTTTAACTCAAAAGCTTTGATTTCTTTTCTTTTCTCAGTTATGTTAGCTTATGGAGTTAAATATTCCAATAGCGAAACATAAAATAACATTGAATGAACAATTAATGCAAAGTTTACAAATGTGTTTATGTTGTAATACTTTTCTAAAATAAATGGCTCTCAATATTAGACTCGAATGAACCTTTATTAGCTAAGACGAAGCATGACCGCCCAATCTGTCAGTACTAACGGAGCACAATTTACCTAAATGATTTTAAAAGCAGTTTGATAAAGTCGTTGTTAAATTTCAGTTGCGACAACCCTACGGTAAGCTCTCTATCCGGTATTCCCGAGTGGCTGTCACGTCCAGCTAGAGGCGCTCCGATTAACCGATGGTCGATTTAGCAACGAAAAATCATATGTCATAGCTACGGCGCACCACTAGTCGACAAATTGAATTTCGAACACGACAGATATTCATTACGATGTTTTCGAGTAGTACCGGATGCATTTTTAAATGGTATGATTTTAATTTAAGGCGAGTTTTGTTTTTAATTTACTGGTGATGCGAATGATACCGTAGTATGTGTAGAAATACTAAAAGTACAGATATGGAATAAAAAATCTTGATAAACCTTATGAGCCACATTTAAAGCATTTTGTCGTGTTCACCTAATGTCTCAATATTATCGCAACTTTGCCGGATCTTGAGCTATTTTGACCTAATAGCAAGACGTTGAGAGGATAACTTGGAGCTCATTGTCGTAGGGGAATATTGAGGGGAGAAGGGCCAGCCAAATGGTCTGACCAGCTCAAGGATAACCCAGCATCGAGGTCCTATACTACAATGCAAATGGTCGCAGATAAGAGCCGACGGATACCGGAATGATCGCGATCCTCAGTTATGAGGGAACGACCGCAGAGAGTTTACCTAAAACACCAGAAGCATGTCACAAATGCGTGCCCGTGCGTAGGAAACAGTTAAACATATTTAATTACGTTATGATTTTCGTTGAAACAGATTGAGCATACAACTCTTATTTACGAAACGAAACAACAGTGCGTATTTAACCTAATCATATAACTCAAAACGTTGATGGAAAAAGAATGGATTCTGAGTGTTCTGTTCGGAGACGTTGGTTTAAACTAGTTAAACGGACAGACAGCATAAAGTCTTAATATTAAGAAGGATTTGAGTTAAAACGCTGCGGATAAATATGTAACAACACTATGCTCCGAGACTTATGATGTTTAAAATAGAACCGGATTGGCAAATTGAGTTGCCTAACTGAAAAACCACTTTACAAATGCAGGGAAACCATACTCGCGTTTCTTAAAGTAGAAAAGCCAGAGTTTTAGCGAAACCGCGGAATGCCTAACGGGTCGCCGGGGCTCCGGCTCGAAGTGCACGAGTAGGAACAGGGTAGTTTTTAGTCAGTAAGAGTCGAGTGTTAGACTCTCACCAAACCCAAGGTGAGAGAAATCTTTGGATGATTTTTCCCCCTCAAAAAAGGGTTTTAGCGAGGTGGTATACTAACAGCACAGAACCGGTAGAATACGGGCTCGTATTAATTGTATGATATACGCTGTATTAATCGTGATTATGACGGCTTGGCAATTTGAAACTTTTTATTTTCGTTCAGGTTGCCTGACGAATTTTGCCTTCACTGTATGTCACGAATAGGCCGGCTCGACCGGAGTGATACCACAGCCTCACAGAAAACGTGTGAGTGAGGTTACCGAAGGCCCAATTACGGGTGGTAATTTAAATCCCACACTCTTTCCCAATATCATAATGCCCAACAATCTTCAAACTCCTAATCCGCAAAAGGCCGATAACGCACTTGTGTTCCGGGTGTCCAGGGGTGGCGCCTATTGCTTACCATCAGGGGATCCGTCAGCTCGTTTACCGGCTTATATTTAAAAAAAATCTATGAATCTGATTAGTTTTTTGACAGAAATACAATAGAACGAAGTTAAAAAATATTTCGACCCTTTATAATGCTGTCTTTCTGCCAGCTGATGATACAGTACATCATTAATATGAAAAGTGGCTTCGCATCTTGTTCTATTCGTCATTCAAATACAAAGTTCTCTTTTCTCTAAATACATAATATTGTTTTTTTTAAGTCGGCAACCTAGGGTCTATAGTATTTGATACTGATGACCACTACGCACTACATTGACGACTACGCCGTAACCCCTGTGGCGTAGCATAGTTGTAATAATTTCCTGTATGATGCGATTAATTTGTATTGTAACAAATGATCATCAATGTTATTATTTGAACATATGTTTTAAGAAAAACTGTTGACTCGCGATATCTTTATTTTTTCAATTACGATCAAATGTTAAGAGAACACTATTAGTTAATGACATAGACGGCCTTAGACAACAAAATTTGTAGTTTATTATCTGATAGAAATTTAATAAATAATTGCTTTCTATCAGGTTTTTTCTGTTTCGATTCAAAGCTCTTTTATTTTACAACTTACGTACTATATTTTTCTTCTATATTTTTTTTTATTTTATATTGCTTGCTAGAAATATCAACGTTAGGATTTATAATGATAAAATTATTAATCGAATGGTAGCAGGTAACATTATGATTTAGTAATTAACACCTGGTTGGGCAACCGGTTGCTGCGCTGTATCGCAGATTTGATTCCCGCGCGGAACTATTCTTTATTTTCACAGAACTTGTATTTTTTCTCTATGTCCCCACAATATTATGTTCTTGATTCTGGTTGTAGTACCTATGTATTTATATTTTTATACAGTAAACGTTTTCACGATTAATAATGATACAAGAAAAAATTCTAATCCGACAGTGTTAAAAAAAGGATAAAAGAAACGTGTAAGGTATCACGCTTTCTACTTCCCGAAGGATTGCGTAGAGGCGCACACATTAATACCTCTAGTAAGTAGAGGTGGTATTACCTCTAGTAAGTATAGCTGACAGCTATTTCACAAATCCCACGAATACCACCTTATATGGCCGCAGTCTACTTGGTTTATTAAGAATTTTCGAAAATAGAGATTCTCAAGAAACTGACTTTTAGATAACTTCTGGGAATTAAAATACCTATATATGTATATAATGAAAAATATTTTTAAAATATTAACTCATTATGTTAAATAATAGTACCTAATAGTAATAAACTTTCTTTTACGCTTCTTTCAATTAAATAGGTTTTTGTTTTGTCTTGTAGTTAGTTTCTATGAAATAGTACTACGCTATGTCGCAATTTAGGCTCACTATGAATAAATATACTTAACTAAAATATCATTTGTTAGCGGGCCGAGGACTAAATGTGAATATCTCAGAAGAATAGTTATCGCAATGCACGGAAAACTGTTTATAAATGGCCTCAAAAATGTAGATTTAAAACAAAAGATCTGACGAAAGTAAATACGCAGGTTTTCTAAAAGGACACGGGATATAAGAAGACACGTTAAGGAATCAATCCAGTGACCGTAGCTGGAAAGTCTAGCCTAAGAACTCCTATGCAAACGGAATATAGAAGAAATAGCACAAAATCTAAAAACTTCATTTCTTAAGAGAAAATAATAAAAAATAACCAGAAAAATTGTATGCTACAAAAACCTAAAGAAAAAAAAAATATTACTCACCAAAAATCTACATTCCAAAATCAAATCAATAAAAAAAACCATGATAGAAAATAAAATAAATATAAGGCGTGTTACTCACTTGCGTGTCGGCGGTCGCATTGCCGGCGCCATGTCCGCGCGGCGCCGTGCCTTGGCCAGAGTGACTGCAAACCGTTGCTTTAGACGACATTGGGCGTGAACCGGGAACAAGCCACGCCCAGGCTCAAGTCCTCTTAGACTTATTGAGCCTGAATCTAGGGCAGGCTTTACTGAAATCCTTAGGAATATGATTTAAGAACTTTCTTATTTTTCTAGAAAGCAGTTGTCTAGTTTTTCTTGAGGTTAAGCGATAACTTACAACGTTTTTGGAGTTATTAACTCCTTTGCTGTGAAAAGTAGACACGGAAGAAATAGGTTTTCAAAACTCAATTGAAAATGCCTGAAATTTGATTTGGATACAGTGATGGCTTGATTAGCACAGATATCACTTCTATGGCCTAATACAGTACTGGTTGAAACAACTATACTGTACCTCTTACAAACTAGTTTTTTTCCTCAGTTCAAGAATGGTTGAGGTAAGGCAGTACTTTCGTACGTTTAATTTT